CAAAATGGATTAAAGATCTAAACATAAGACCAGACACTATAAAACTCCTAGAGGAGAACATAGGCAAAACACTCTCTGACATAAATCACAGCAGGATCCTCTATGACCCACATCCCAGAATATTAGAAACAAAAGCAAAAATAAACAAATGGGACCTAATGAAACTTAAAAGCTTTTGCACAACAAAGGAAACTATAAGCAAGATGAAAAGACAGCCCTCAGATTGGGAGAAAATAATAGCAAACGAAGCAACAAAGGATTAATCTCAAAAATATACAAGCAACTCCTCCAGCTCAACTCCAGAAAAATAAACGACCCAATCAAAAAATGGGCCAAAGAACTAAACAGACATTTCTCCAAAGAAGACATACAGATGGCTAACAAACACATGAAAAGATGCTCAACATCACTCATTATCAGAGAAATGCAAATCAAAACCACAATGAGGTACCATTACACGCCAGTCAGGATGGCTGCTATCCAAAAGTCTACAAGCAATAAATGCTGGAGAGGGTGTGAAGAAAAGGGAACCCTCTTACACTGTTGGTGGGAATGCAAAGTAGTACAGCCGCTATGGAGAACAGTGTGGAGATTTCTTAAAAAACTGGAAATAGAACTGCCATATGACCCAGCAATCCCACTTCTGGGCATACACACCAAGGGAACCAGATCTGAAAGAGACATGTGCACCCCAATGTTCATCACAGCACTGTTTATGATAGCCAGGACATGGAAGCAACCTAGATGCCCATCAGCAGACGAATGGATAAGGAAGCTGTGGTACATATACACCATGGAATATTACTCAGCCATTAAAAAGAATTCATTTGAATCAGTTCTAATGAGATGGATGAAACTGGAGCCTATTATACAGAGTGAAGTAAGCCAGAAAGATAAAGAACATTACAGCATACTAACACATATATATGAGATTTAGAAAGATGGTAATGATAACCCTATATGCAAAATAGAAAAAGAGACACAGATGTACAGAACAGACTTTTGGACTCTGTGGGAGAAGGCGAGGGTGGGATGTTTCGAGAGAACAGCATCGAAACATGTATATTATCTAGGGTGAAACAGATCACCAGCCCAGGTTGGATGCATGAGACAAGTGCTCGGGCCTGGTGCACTGGGAATACCCAGAGGGATCGGGTGGAGAGGGAGGTGGGAGCGGGGATCAGGATGGGGAATACATGTAAATCCATGGCTAATTCATGTCAATGTATGACAAAAACCACTACAATATGGTAAAATAATTAGCCTCCAACTAATAAAAATAAATGAAAAAAAATAAAAATAAAAATAAAATAAAGCCCACCATTTAAATTTAAATATTATTTTGGAGTGATTACACATTAAACCAAGAAGTTACTGAATCTTTATGAAAGAAACCTTCAGGTACATTACTTCTGAAATACACATTTGTCAAAACATTAGCTTTGTGGAGTTTTGTTAATGAAGACTCTGGGAGTTTAAAAATATATATACAGTCAAACAAACAAAATCTAAAAACCAGAGAGACCACGATTCCATATTCAAAAAAGTAAGACTCTAACCACTGGACATCTCAGAGCATCTAGTGGACTGGCTGAGCCTCCAAAAGGGCTGCACGATGTGTTGAGCTCCGCAACATACTCAGACACTGACGCCCTTTCTCCTTTTAAGCTACATGAGGATAGGAACCATGTCCATGTTTGCTCAACTTTGTGTTTCCAGCCTCTAGTCCAATCCTTACATGTGGCTGCATGGTGGATGACAGACAGATGGATGGATGGGTGGGTAAATGGATGGACTAACATCTTGAGAGACTCAGTGGTTCTGGATGATCAAGAAAAGAAAAAAGGACAAAGAGGAGGAAGGAGAGAAAATGACAAAGGAAGAAAAGGGGATTGAAGACTTCCCTGGTGGTGCAGTGGATAAGAGTCCACCTGAAAATAGGGGACACAGGTTCGATGGTCCAGGAAGGCTCCACATGCTGCGGAGCAATTAAGCCCGTGCTATGCAACTACTGAGACGACACTCTAGAGCCTGTGATCTGGAACCTCTGAGCCCGCGTGCTGAAACTACTGAAGCTGACGCACCTACAGCCTGTGCTCCCCTACCAGAGAAGCCACCGCAACGTGAAGACTGAGTACAGCGACAAAGAGTAGCTTCTGCCTACCGCAACTAAAAAATCCCTCGAGAAAGCAATTAAGACCCAGCGCAGCCAAAAATAAGTAAATACAAAAAAAGGAAAGGTATTGAAAGAATGGGAACTGCAGACGGTAGCAGTCAAATCTCCACTGTATGACAATTTTGCTCGAAGCGGGTTTCGATCATGAAGTTGATATTAAAGAACATTCACAGATGCTTTATGCCACATCTTGGTTGGAGGGGCAGTGCTGTGGACTGAATGTTTGTGTCTCTCCCTAAATTCATACACTGAAACCCTAATCTCCAGGGTGATGGTATTTGGAGGGGAAGCCTTTGGGAGGTAATTGGGTTCGAATGAGGTCATGAGGATGGAGGCTGAGGATGAGATTGCTGCTGTTAAAAGGTGATGAAGAGACCAGAGATCTCTCTCCATCAAGTGAGGATACAGCAAGAAGGCAGCCATCAGCAAAACAGGAAGAGGGCCCTCACCAGACACCGGACCTGCTCACACCTTGATCTTAAGACTTGCCAGCCTCCAGAACTAGGAGAAATAAACATCCGTCTTAAAGCCACAGAGTCTGCAGTATTTCGTTGTAGTAGACCAGGCTAAAAGATAGGCACATGTCACAGTGTCTTTAATCAGAGACACCTGGGTCCAACACCCAGATCTGCCCTTAACACCGTCCATTCCCTCCCTTGCAAAACATAGCTGCTGCTCCTGTGACCCCATAGACGGCAGCCTACCAGGCTCCCCCGTCCCTGGGATTCTCCAGGCAAGAACACTGGAGTGGGTTGCCATTTCCTTCTCCAATGCATGAAAGTGAAAAGTGAAAGTGAAGTGACTCAGTCGTGTCCGACTCTTCGCGACCCCATGGACTGCAGCCTACCAGGCTCCTCTGCCCATGGGATTTTCCAGGCAAGAGTACTGGAGTGGGTTGTCATTGCCTTCTCCAGCAAAATATGGCTAACAATGTCTAATTCATGGGGTGGTTGACAGCTTTAGAGATCACTTCCCTAAAGACTAAGGATCTAGGAATCTCTGAAGAGTTCTTTTTACTATATACTTTTATCATCCAAGAGCTCTGCAAAGTGCTTCATATAAGCACATGACTTAGAAATATTACTTAATTGATGTAATTAGTTTCTTTCCTTCCTTTTTTCCCTTTTATCCTCTGGTTTCAACTAGGTAAAATACAGTCACATAGTTCAAAATTCAAATGACACACAAGAATATACCATGAAAATTCTCCCTTCTTCCACTGGACTCAGGCATTCAGCCCCTTCCTAAAGCATCCAATTTTACCACAGGAGGTTTTCAGTCAACAGATGCCTATAAATTAGGCTAATTCTGAGTTATTTTAAGCAACTCAAAACAAAATGCCCTACTGCTATTCATCATCCCAGAAGGTCTCCCACTAAGGTAACTTGTTTCAGGTAGCTTGCTACTAGCTGAATTCCTTATGTGGGTTAATCAATAGGCTTGTTAATAAAGAACCACCCCCTATAGTCCTCACCCATCACCGAAGACTCAGAAACCTTTGACCTAAAAGTGATACTCAGCACAGCTTAATTCTTTTTAGATGACTGAGAAGCTCTGTCTTTCACCAGTCATTTTCAACATCTGAGTCAAAGTAATGTCCTAGAAAAGAGCAGAAGTGATAGCAAATGGAGAGTTCTGATTTTGGAAATATACTAGATTACTTTTTTTAGCAACATATTAGGATTCAATATTATTCCATAAGAACAGGAGGCAGAATCTGAGATCACCAGGGTGAGCCAGGAGCCACCAAAATTGACCAGCTCTGAGGACTGAGGTCTAAAGAAGGTGAAAACCAACAAAAAAAAGAAATAGCAAGGGACTTCCCTGGTGGTCCAGTGGCTAAGACTCCGCACTCCCAATGCAGGGGGCCCGGGTTCAACCCCTGGTCAGGACACTAGATCCCACATGCTGCAGCTAAGACCCAAAGCAGCCAAATAAATAAACAAACATAAATATATAAATTTTTCTTTTAAAAAAGAAGCAGTAGCAGGATGTGACCAGACGGAGTTAAGGCCAATGACCTAAACAACTGAGAAGCACAAATGGCCAGGATATGCAAAGATAAACTATTTGAATCTGTGCAGTAAGTCATGGAATTTGCATAGCAAGCTGAATCAGTAGGTAAATAAGAATTAAATTGATGCAAAGCCAAGAGACAGAAGACAAGACAGGAATTACAAGCTGCTCAGAATAAGTCTCTTTTCTGGACACCTAGATCCCCTCCTATGTTCCAAAGATGATCTGGATACAAAGTCGGAGTTAGCCAAAAACATTCCTAGCTTCGGAAACCTCAGCACACACCAAGGCTGGGAACTCAGGAGGCCACCCCACTCAGCAAAGACGTGGCAACAGAATAATGAGAACATAATCCTTCTTGCTCTTGTTATCCTGCTTGAATCTCAAATACACTCTTACAGCCATTTAGTTAGAAACCTACACGGTCTGTTCAGGTATCCTAGTTTAATCATAATAGTCAAAGGAGAATTTTGAATTTTGGCTGCAGAGTCGGGCAGAATTCAACAGAAATTTTTGGAGAAAAACATTCCATGAACTTTCACCCAAATTCCCATGCTGAGACAAATGCTGAAAATGTATTACGACAGAACCAGTGTTTATTTATCCAAAGACAGGATGACAAGTGCCTTTCTTTGTTTTAGTTTTTTTGACTCTACTCATCTGCAAAACACAAAAGAAGCTGAAAGCATAGGCTAGGAATTTTTTTGTTACATTACCATCTCTTTATTTTTTTTTTTTTTAATTCTTTTTTTTTTTTTTCCTTCTTTCCTCTTTTTTTCCTCTCTCTCCTCCTAATACACACTTTTTTTTAGTAAGGGGAATACCATGATGTCGCTCTAGCCCGGCCCCTGTAGACGCGACCCCGGGGCCTGCTGTTAAAACCACTGTAGAATCGAGAGCGGGAACTGTTGTAGTTGGTGGTTCGGGCACGGTATCGGGCTCGTGGGAAACCTCGGTCTGTTGTGCTGATGCCTGGTCTGTTGGTTCGTTTAGGGATCACCTTGATCTGTCTTCCTCTAAATAAGGATTCATCTAAGGCCAGGGAAGTCCTCACTGACTCTTTGTCTGAGAACTCTATATACGCAAACCCTTTGGGATGGCCACTAAATTTGTCACAGAGTATAGAAACACGGTTGACTGAACCACAGCCATGAAAGTGTGCTTCCAGCTCTTCTGCTGTTGCACCATAGTCCACATTGCCAACATAGATGGAACGGGCATCAGCCTCCATCTTCTCCTCAATGGACATGATCACTGGGCCAGCATTGCCCGGAGGTGGACTCATATTCATCTGCTTCTCTACCTCGTTCTGTAGCTCCTTTAGCTTCTCAGCTTCTTCCTCCATCTCCCTAACTCGAGCTTTGATCACTTCCAGCTCCGGGTCCTCAATGGCGCCGTCCCCCGGGTCACCCTCGACCAGACCCGGCTCCTCCTCCTCCTCCTGGTTGCCGGGCCCCCAAGCCAGGCCCGGGGGGGGGGGGGGGCGCGGGGCCGGGGCGGCTCCTCTTCGGGCTCGGGCTCCGGCTCGGGCTCCAGCAGCAGCTCCTCAGGCTCCAGTCCCTCAGACTCCAAGCCGTTCCCGTAGTCCCCTGCGCCCCCCGGGGCCCCCTCCCCGGCCTCCCCACCGGCCCCGGGCACAAGATGGCGCCGCCGCCCCGGCCCGGAGCCCCGACCGCCCGCAGCCCCCGCTGCTGCTCACCATCTCTTTATTATAATCACCGAGGTCAAATACAGTAGGTTGTATTTGAGCAGGGTTGTCACGTAACTAACTGTGCCAAGCCCCAAAGGACTCTATACTCTACACTAACTCACCATTAGGAACTAGCATCCTTGATGCACTAGAGCAGTACATGATTCTTCCAGGGGAACAGGGCAGACAGGAAGGAACAGCTCTCCAGAATGTCAATTTGAAGGTGAAAGTGAAAGTCGCTCAGTCGTGTCTGACTCTTTGTGACCCCACAGATATACAGTCCATGGAGTTCTCCAGGCCAGAATACTGGAGTGGGTAGCCTTTCCCTTCTCCAGGGGATCTTCCCAACCCAGGGATGGAACCCAGGTGGGGGCTAAATAGAACTTGAGTTGGAAACATGGAGTCAACTTGCAAAGTGAGAGCCAAAAAGTGCCCACATTTGGGTGTTCTGAACTTGGGGACAACTTCTTTCTTCTACATCTTCCCCACATCCCAATGAAAGAACTGAAAGGGACTCAGTTATGCACTCAGTCTCGCCCATAATATCTAGGGTTCATCCTTCAGTCCAAACAGGAGCTATGAAGACATAGGCCCAGAACAAGTTGAACCCCAGGGACACAAAATGAGGGCCACAAAGTGTAGGCAATGGGACTTCTGTTGTGGAGTGTCGAGGGAAGTTCAAGTTCTCTTCCTCCTTCCAGGATCGAAAAGCCCCTGCTTTTCAGAAGTCTCCTGATTAAAGAACCCATAACTCCTAAACTGGCTTTTCCTCCAACTGCAACCCAAAGTTTCACATCTGTATTTCTGTCCTTAGTCTTCTTATGCCACTAAATGTACAAATGTGTATAGACTGAATTTTACCAAACTCGAGATTCTCAACTTGTTTAATATATTCCTCAATGTCTAATCCATCACATCCATAAAGCTTTCCATCCATCCATCATTACATTTTGAAAATCTGAACAAGAGGCCAGCATATACTTATGCTCAGTGTTTAATGGTGACATTTAAATGTAAGTACAATAAAATATAAAAACTGTACACTGCTGCCGCTCAGAAAAGATATCCACACCATCAAAAGGTCAAGTTCAAACAGGCCAAGTCCAAGGGAAAGGAAGCAAAGCTTCTCCAACTTGGCCAACTTCTGCTCTAGACTTTTAGAGTAGTCTCATTCTCCCTACTGAAGCTGTAAGACCCAGAAGGCTAAGACCAATCCTAGGACAACGGAAAAAAGGCACATACCCGGTCACTGAGGCCGACTTCAAGGACACCAAGAAGAACCCCTGGAGCATCAGAACAGTCCAGAACAGCTGCTCGCCAGACTAGACGGCCCAGAACAGAAGCTAGATCTATAGATAAAGAGTATGTCCTTACATGGATGGGCCTCCCAAGTAGCTCAGATGGGAAAGAATCTGGCTGTAATGCAGGAGACCCAGGTTTGATCCCTGAGTCAGGAAATCCCCTGGAGAAGGGAATGGCAACCCATTCCAGTCAACAGAGTTTCTTCAGTAGTATAGGATTCACGTGCACATTTAATTTGAAAGGAGAGAATTTTGAAGATATGCATTTGTGGGGGGGATACAAACTTCAATCTATAGCATGAATATGTTGAAACCTAAAAATAACAGAATTACAGTATTTGAAGGTGGGGGTCTTTGGGTGATGATCGGGTCACAAGAGTGGAGCCCTTGTGAGTGGGATTAATGTTCCTATAAAGAGCTCCCCGCCCCCTTACCTCTTCCACCATGTGAGGACATGGCAAGAAGACAGACTCTTTGAACCAGGAGGCCAGCCCTCACCAGACACAGCACCTTGGTCTTGGACTGCTTAGCCTCCAGGACTGTCACAAGTAAATTTCTGCTGTTTATAACCCACCCAGTCTACAGTACTTGGTTCAAGCAGCCTGAACTGACAAAGACAATGCATTTGTGATGATGTATATATATTCTGACATTTCTAACTAGGTTGCATATTGCTATCTCATGTGATATGACATACATTTAAGATGGCACCTAGTTGCTGTTTTATTAAAACCATATTTCAATCCAAGCTTAAACTAGCACTTGCCATCATTCCAGCCTGTCTCTCCCCACTCTCTTTCATGTTCAACATGAATCAAATGGCATAAGCATCCCAAATATATTCCAGTTAACACCCCATGTCTCATCCCTCCACATTTTTCCACACCCACTCCAAGCCTAGAATGTTCTTCCCTTTGACTCCATGTTAAAACACTAGGCATCTTTTAAATTCCAACTTGGAATTCCCTGATCCCAAAAGACACTCCCTGCCCTGAATTGATCCTATACCTTGTATATAGCATTATTACCAGTGTTTTTGTTTTGTTCTGTTTTGTTTAATGACTGTCACCCCTATTGTGAATGGCAAAGAGTACAAAGTTAAAATATAGTCCTATCTTATATTTGGGTGACTTTGAACAAATTGAGACATCTGAGTCTCAATTTCTTCTTCTGCAAGATAAACGTAGATATTATTATCCCATCTCTCACACGATAATGAGACTTAACTAAGATAACATATGTAAGAGCACTTTTTAAAAAACACTTATTTATTTAGCTGCGTTGATTCTTAGTTGTGACATGCAGAATCTAGTTCTTTGACTAGGGATCAAACCCAGGCTGCTCGCCTCGGGAGTGGGGAGTTTTAGTTACTGGACCACCAGGGAAGTCCCAGTGACAGCATTTTGCTAATTATAAAGTACTGACAAATTTTATTTAGAATAAAGAAGACTTTTTGAAAATAGGTAATAGACCATACAAATTAGAAAAAAAAGATATGATCTCTCACCATTTATAAAAACAGCTCTAGACAAAACTACCAATGAGCATTGGCCTCCCAAAACCCTAAACTGGAAGGTCTATTCTCAACTGTCATCTTGCTCAATCCATTAGCAGCATGTGACCCAGACAACCTTGCCTTCTTCCTGGACACACTCTCTTCACTGGGCTTCTACCACTTCTAAATCTAGCCCCAAGGCTTTCCTTTCTATACTCACTCCCTTGGTGATCTCACCGACTCTTATGGCTTTAAACAGCATTTAATTTCTTCCAACTCACTAATTTGGATCTGTAGATTTCTTCCCCCAAAATCAAACCTGTGTATTAAACTGCCTAGAGATGCTTTACAAGTACCTTAATGTGTCCAAGCTGAGCTCCTAGTCTCCCCCATCCCAAGGACACACTTCATCTCCGTTCATGAACACTGGGTCCATGCAGGAGCTTGGATCAAACAAATTTCAGATTTGATGCCTCTTTTTCTCTCATACTTTCTAACTGATCCACCAAAAAATTCTCCAACCAAAGTATCTTCCGAATCTGGTCCCTTCTCACTAACTCCATGCTGCTTTTATCCTCATCCAAGTTGCCATCATCTCTCACTTGACAACTGAAATTGCTTCTTAAATGGTCTCTCGGTTTCTGCCCTGTCCATCTTTGATCTTGTTGAATAAACCCATCAGAGTAATCATGTGACAACATTAGTTATATTAGGTCAATCACTGGTTAAACTCCTTCAATGGTACCCTGTCTCCCTCAGGGAGACATAAAGGGATTTAAGGATCCATGTGATCTGCTCACCACACTCCTATTTCCTCTCTGAGCTCACCTCCCACCACCTTCCCCTTTGCTGAGTCTACTCCAGCCACTATTCCCACCTTGCTTTCCATGGGTAACCGGACACAGGCCATGCCTCTGCCTGGATGCTCATCTGCCTGCTATCACGTGGCTCATTCTTTCATTTCCTTTATATCATTCCTCAAACGTCACCTTCTCCGTGAGGTCATCCCTGGCCATCCTTTCCTCCTACTCCCCACTGCTCTTTCCTGATTTTTTTTTTTCTCAATAGTAGTTGGCGTCTTTTAACGTATATTCTACTGTCAGTAGTAAAAGCTCCAACAGTACCAGAATTTTTATTTCTTTTGTATCTTTAGTGCGTAGAGCAATGCCTGACACATAGATGCCATATTACTTATAAGAACGAATGAGGAAGGAATGAATACACAAAATAGGCTTCACAAGTCCGTGATACATGTATTTCTAACCACCCGTATCTTCAACAATAAAGGGCAGAAAAACCATCAAAGTTCTTAGAAATGATTGACAAAAGTCAGAAAATTTGCTTTTCATTTACTTATCAGATGCCTAGTATGTGCTGCATTTATAATTTTGGAAGGCAGAGCTGAACATTAAGATTTCCCGCCTATTTAAGTTTCTTACGAGTACCTTGGCCGATTCTTCTGGTCTCAATAATTCAAACTAATCCATGTCAACAAACAGTTTTAAAAAACCAAAACTATAAGATTGGATACTTAAGGTAATTAAGTATATTTTGTTCTAGCCTAAGAATTACATCACATAGAAAAACTTTAAGGAATGCATGACTTTTAAACGCTGTAATTACAATTATATTAGTAGTTGCTATACTAATGAATATAATTTACTGATTAAAACAGATGTTGCCCACAAACAGAAAGTTGTGGATACATCTAGAAAAAAAACTTTTCCCATTTTAATATTGATTTATTCCATATTTTTCTTTTTAGTTATCATTTTAAGGCAACTATCTGCTGGTAAATTACAAAGAAGAAGGAACAGTACTTTAACATGCTCACCAAAAACTTCCTAAGGGTAAATGAA